ACAGCGCGTAAACCATAGAAGAACGAATGCTTTTGGAGCGCAATCACTCCAAAAGCATTTAGAGCCATCTGGAAAAAGTAACGGTCCTCTTTTTGAACTGCACTGGGTTCAGTGTGTAGCAGATATGTCAGACTTTGTTACTGTAACTGTAGAAAATTCGGACTCGAAAGATTGCAATCTTGAATGAGGAATGGACCTTTGTTTGAGGTGTTCGTATAATCATGAACCGCTAAAAATTCGCATTGGGCGCAGAAACACTTTTGAGATTGATATTGATTTCCATTCTCATGGGTCATATATCGTTTTCGGCTGTGCTCTATCGCGCGGTACCAACGGCTTTTTGAGTTCCTTCCAAAAAGTCCAGAAACTTTCAAAATTTTGGGTGTTCGTATAATTATGAACCGCACCTTAGCTTTTACCAAAGAACTTTAGTTGCTTTTTAGCTATCCAAAAACATTTATTTGCGTTTCTTTTGAATGTGAGTATTCCGTGAAATCAGTACACTCAATATAATGCTAGTCGTGCACTTCCAAGTTGGATTTTAAAGCAAATTATGCACCAAAACCCCCCTTACTTCACATTTTTAACCTTTCATAACTTCTTCCAGATAATGTTGTCGCAGATATGGAAGATAGATTTGGAATCAGCTCATCAAGACGCATCTAATGGTTTGCGGTTTATTCCAATTCGCCACCTTAAAGGCAGCGTCCGGGCAAAAAGTCGATTTTGAGATTTTGTGCTTACCCGGGCCTATTCGCTATGCTGAATCCGAAAATCACCACTAGAGAGCGCGAAAACGGCGAAAAAGGGGTCTAACGCAGGAGGAAAATCAGCAGGGGGCGGAGCGTCCGAGAGGGAGGATTCTCGCTTCCAGCTCCCGGAGCAATCTTCTCGGTTCCTTTAGTCGCCCTAACATCGCTACTGGCCAAGTACAAACAAGTGATTTGAGATCGGAATCAAGCCTGTTTGCATAAACTTGGAGAGCTTTCGTGTTACTGCATTTATGCGTTTCTCGACTTCACCAAAAATCAAAATGTTCAAAGAAATGATCTTTTGAGACTCCATAAAGCAGATCAGAGGAACCTAGAAACTACTGTGCAGTCCCAAATTTGCTTTATTTGGATCATATTTACACGTTACTCACAATCAGACTCTAGATCAAACTGCTTGAAGAATTAGCGGAACTTAGAGCAGATAGAAGTGACGAGTGAAAAATTTTGGCAGTTGGTGGAAATTTGAGACCATTAGAAAGAAAAGAAGGGTGCATTCAATGGTTTAATAGTTCGCCTTCTTTGATCCTGGGCACAATTCGTATAATAAAATGCTTCTGTGCGGAACCCCCAAAAAGCGGTGTTCACAGGATATGCTCATCTTCTGACATAGCAATTTTTACGAAAAGAGTGTTGAACGAAGGTTGAGAACTAGCAGGAATGGAGATGGTACTTGATGGTTTCATTCCGCGGGTCACGCTTTGAGCCGCTTTCAGGCCTCTGACAAGGGAACGATCCCAACTTAAAGGCAGCGTCCGGGTAAAAAGTCGATTTTGAGATTTTGTGCTTACCCGGGCCTATTCGCTATGCTGAATCCGAAAATCACCACTAGAGAGCGCGAAAACGGCGAAAAAGGGGTCTAACGCAGGAGGAAAATCAGCAGGGGGCGGAGCGTCCGAGAGGGAGGATTCTCGCTTCCAGCTTTTGGAGCAATCTTCTCGGCTCCTTTAGTCGCCCTAACATCGCTACTGGCCAAGTACAAACGAGTGATTTGAGATCGGAATCAAGCCTGTTTGCATAAACTTGGAGAGCTTTCGTGTCACTGCATTTATGCGTTTCTCGACTTCACCAAAAATTGGCTTGATTGTTATTAGACATCGTTTGTGCAAAACAATCAAGTTTGATTTGCCTTGAAAAAATAGCTTTTTAGCATTTTGGGTACTCCTAAACGCTAGGTGTGCTCAAAACTGGGATTTCAAATAGACCGTTATCAGACTTCAAAATTTGATCTAGTAATTTACAATAAGTACAGTGTAATCGAAGATCCACTCTACATGACAATTTTTGCGCTTTCGAGATATTAAGACAAAATTTTTGAATTAGGGAAAGTCTGGCGTTACCGTTGGACTGCTCAAAGATCTCAGGCGATTACATCGCGAGCACTGCTTATCAGGTGGGAATTGTAGGTATCAGAAAGAGGTTATGTAAATTGAACTATCCTAAGTCGTCCGTCGATCAGTGTTCTGCGAGTTTTGGTGATTGGTTAAAAAACTGACACTTTCGGGACTCACGTAGATTGGAGATATAACAGGGCCTGGCACGAGTCGGTTTTTGAAATTGTGAAAACGAAATCATCCCCGACTTTTGGAAATTTTACGAAGTCCTATTTGACTCTTCTCTGAAAGTTATCGATATAAAAAAGATGAAAACAAAAGAGAGTGATTAGTGTGGGAGGAAAACCCTGAAATAAGAGTGAAAATTCAAAGTAGAGTTGAATTTGAAACGCGACAAACAAAGCGATTTGTGAAGAATTAAGGCAAAAAAGAACAAAGGAATGGCTATAATATGAACATGCCTTCATGCTCGGGGACAGATTTTTGACCGACGATTTCTCCATGATAGAAAAATTTGAAACTTATGTGAACTTGGAGAAATATTGCTCCATACGATCTCAGACCGTATAGTGGCCGTCTAGAGAGGGATTAATTTTGGAGAAGGTGTTATTTCACATAAATTGTTGAAACTCTTCACATATGTTTTGTTGTAATGTAAAAGTTCTCCTTTCTTCAAACCTTGGCATAGTTAATGGATATTGTTCAGCTTTTTTTATGCAACCACAGCTTTCTAGCAACAATTTATCGTGCCCAACGTTTCGGCATAATCAGGCATCTGATGGCATAATGCGTTTGACGAGGATGATTGACTCACTTTCAAGTCTCTAAGAACGACGTCTCCGCCAAAACGTTAGGTACAGTAATACAGTTTGTCGCTTTAAAGAACTGTGACATAGCAGAAGCTGAACACTCTATACATTCTTCCGCAAGTAATATTATATGCCTACTTTCCAAATTTGGTGTCATATTTTTGTCCCTACGCCGTAAACAAGCAATTTGTCAGTTTTGGCTTCGCTTTGAAGCGCGCCTTCGGCGAGACACGACTCATGTACTATCCGTAAAGCTTGTGCTGTCGAATATTGCTTTTGGCACTATAGGAATCAAGTTGGAATGTCTCGCACATTGTATGCGCATTTTTCCTCCACTTACTTTGCTAATAATGCATGGACCCAATTTTTTCTGGGTTCGAACATGGGTTTTTTGTCCTAAAAACGAAATGCAGACTGCCTCCATTTGATTTGTGCCGGGCCCTGAATAAAACACCTATGAAGTCCCTTGTTCTTGCGTTGACCTGAAATCTGCCTCAAATCTCATATCCAATCTCATATCTGATTCACTTTGATTACGTAGTAAAAGATTTTGGGCTCATAATGCAAGGCTAATGGCGGTTTCATCTGGTTCATCTAATAAACTGTCTTCTTTTTTTGTTTTCTTCTATTTCTTTTCTTCTTTCTTTTATCGCTTCTACAACAATAGAGCACTTCAAGGATCGAATTGACTCTTTGACCAACCATTCTTTTCGTTAAACAGTCAGCGATTTCTTATAATCGAAATCTAGTCTCACTAGCTTATCCGCTGACTTTTTATCTCTCTGCCGCACGTTTCTCACCATTCCGCGTCCAAAGTGAGAGCTTGGGGCAGCGGCTTTCAAATCAAACTGGTCACTTTGCTACATCGCTCGCTTATCAGCAACGTCTCTGCGACTTTCGTCGCCAAGGGATAAGATCCGCCCGATATATTAGCACAGGCTAATACTGGCCCATGCCGAGATTGCAGCTAGCCCGTGTTATTTTGAAGCAGAAGTTTCAAAAGGGTTACCTTTAGATATACGATTGATTCTCCTTTAAAGTAGCTGCAAACGTTGTTATTTTCCAACGATTTGTTTTTGCACTCTTATCAAAAATAATAAAATCATCTCAAAAAGAATTCAGAGCCTCTTATCTCCTTCCTTCTCAATGAAGATTTGTTAGCTTGAGGATCACAATAATTATATGACAACTCCGTTCTATCTAGATTTATGTTTAATTCAGGCGCGAGTTAAAGTAGCTGACTACTTTGGATTATTTGCGCCGAATGCTCCGTAGAATAGAAAGAAAAATTACTCAGTAAGCATCAATAACGTGCTTCAAGCTAAAAAAATTTCAACTTCACATTTAGCAGTAACAATGAGCAATCTATAATTATGTGCTTTTGGGCATTTTCCCAAATGCTCCATGCTATATTGTTTTCTATTGCGTATTTTTAGCCTTTGTGAGCGTCTTAATGAATAAAAGTAGCTAGCAGCTTTGCACTTCCTTTGAGGATGCTATTCAGCGCAAAAACGAAAACTGGTTCTAGAAGCTTAACCACAACTGGTGGTTACTTAGGCCTATTCAGAAGGTTTTTCATACTATCTCATTGTGTCTCTCACTTTCATTGGCAGTAGTCGCTTTCTAAACGCTCAAATGATCATTCTTATTATTGTTTCGACCTCGATTTTTCTGTAGTTCTTTGTGGCTATCCTCAATTACTCAGATTTGAAATTTCGGTCATTTCAACTTTTTTGTTCCCTTCAAAATCTCACCAATGCTAGCTGCGTATTGACTGATGCACGAATATCTCTTACTCGTTCAAATTATTTGGTGAATGCGAGTAACTGTGCTTTCCCCTCTTTTTTGTTCCCTAAGGTCACTATCTCTTTGCACGGCAATCTTTTTGCATTATAATCGTTTAGAGTCCGTTGAATCGGTCATAACCATCGAATTGTCGCCGTAATCCACGGACGATTTTCTAGTTGCATTCGTTATTATAATTCCAGATCCTCACTCTTACGCGCTCGAAAATTGTCACCTGCAGTGAAATAATCGTTTCTTCCACGGCTCATTTCTACCTCGTATACGCTGTACAAAATTCCGTTATGATACTCAGGTCTTTTATTGCTCTTCTCGCCACTGCTCAACAAATTACATCGGTGAGTAGTTATTCAACTATGGAAGTGTTTGCTCATGGAATAAAACTATGGAGGAATGTTCATGATCTATGAAGGAAATCTTATGAACTATAGAGGAAAACTTCATAAAAATTCGCAAGAAGTTTACGTCGAGTAATTCTACGAGCCCCAGCCACTTGGTTTTTTCAAGTCCGAAGATGACCTGTACTCAAACAACTAAAAAAAACGCCGTTGTTCAGGAAAAATCTACCTGTGATTCTTTGCAGAGAGTGAAAACGATTTTTTTCAAATTTTCAATACACATTCTCTTGAGGTCTAAAATTTAATCAATCATCGGCTTTCATCACTATTTTCGAGAAGCATTGAAATTTGTTAAACTTGTCTTTGAAACGTTGAAGCGTTTAGAAAAATCATCAATTACAAAAATTGACAAAAATGGTTGAAAAGTGATTTCTAAATGCTTTATCATGAAGCCGGGCTTTTTAAGCACGAACAATGCGTCTTTGGAGTTGCATCTTTATTTGAAAAATGGGTACTGAAAAAGTGCTATTCTTCAAAAGAAAGCGAAAATGGCGCGGTTCGCAGGTTTTTATAGTAATTCAACATGAAGACAGACAAGATGAGGAACACTTTAGCATTCAATAAGGATAAGTCTCAAAATGTAATTTTTTATGATGTAGATAAGCCTGATGTTCTTTCATTCCTTCTGTTATTTCTTGCTGAAATCTGAAAGTTGGAGCATAGTTTGAATACAAATCATTCGCGCTCAAATGCTGAGGCGCATCATCTATGATTTTGCTCGGTATTACTCACATTTGAATGAATAGAAAGAAATTGTTTCAAGCTTATCTTACAAGGGAATGAACCCAACTTAAGGTGGCGAACTGGAATGAACCGCATACCATTAGATGCGTCTTGATGAGCTGTTTCCAAATCTGTCTTCCATATTTGCGAAACCGTTATCTGCAAAAAGTTAGGAGCGGTTGAAAATGTGAAGTTATCGGGGTTTTAATGCATAATATGCTTTAAAATCAACTTGGAAGTGCACGAGTAGCATGATATTGAGTGTACTGATTCCAGGGAATGCTCAAATTTTAAAGAAACACAGATAAGTGTTTTTGAACAGCTAAAAAACAACTAAAGTTCTTTGGTAAAAGCTATGAGCAATGAAAAGTCCAAATTTGGCAAATGTACAGCCATACCTCAAAAATTAGTCATTTAAAAACATTTATCTGTATTTCTTTAGAATCTGAGCATTCCCTGGAATCAGTACACTCAATATCACGCTAGTCGTGTACTTCCAAGTTGGTTTTTAAAGCATAGCTTTAAAACCCCGATAACTTCACATTTTCAACCGATCATAACTTTTTGCAGATAACGGTGTCGCAGATATGAAAGACAGATTTGGAAGCAGCTCATCAAGACGCATTTAATGGTATGCGGTTCATTCCAATTCGCCACCTTAAGTTGGGATCGTTCCCTTGTTAGTCTTTTTTCCGAATTCTCGACTACATATAATAATCAAAAAACTATAGTTCAAAGTTTGAGGTAGTTTAGGAGAGAAACTAGAGGGACACTACTTTTCCGCACCCTATATTTTGCGTATATGACCAGTTGTAACATTGTTTTGTTTGCCGAAATGCCTGAATGCCATTAACCTTCTTGCCCATCTGTTCATACCGTCTCTAAAAAACATCTGTGTTCAAAAAATGGACAAACCCCTCAAAGCGGAAATGTGATTTTATACAAACAACCAACTCTACGTAGGGGTGTACTTTTCTTGACTAATAAACATCAAGCTGATAAGCGTTGATAGTTGCAATCTTTGGATTCAAAATCATGAACCAGCACCATGCCTCACATATCTTGTATCTAATAGAAGTAGTTTTGGTAGATTTTAATAAGGTAACGAGCATCTTTTCATTCATTATTAAAAAGAGCTTTGCATTTGTGTGGCAAAAAGCAATGTAGACATACCTCTCTCTAGCAACGGATGGTACTTGTCGAAGGCAGCCAACCACGGAGACCGTCGAGGATGTTTAGGAGCCAGCGAAGACACGACGAAACAAAAGGTTTCTTATAACACTCTATTCACGTAGTTTACCAACATTGCCGGATGATTTATGGAATAGAAAAGTAGAAGTCATTGTGAAGTTGAAAGTGTGCGGAAAATTTCATTCAAGTGTACGATGATGACAGCGCAAACCACATCATCTATGCCCCACTGGAGGGAGAACGAGTCATCACTAAGGGAATCATTTACGTCAACGGAAAGTCAAAAACGGATGACCAGCGTAAGTTTGGACTCTCTTTCCACCCAAAGACGTCAATTCCTCTCCAGTGTACCAAACAATGCTGGCCGGAGATTCCAATAAAGTAACTGACGTTGACCCTTTCTTCGTTACTGAACCACCACGAAGGACTACGCTTGCTATAAAAAATGAAATATTGGACTCCTTGGATTCCTATGATCAGGTGGAATTATTAGACTTCCTAAACATAAAAGTAATTAGGTGATAGTTTTTGTTTGAAGAGCTACGCTTAGATTCGAATATTCAATCTGCAAAGATGTTTGACCTTTCGAGTGATAAATTGATCGAATATCGTCAAAAAGGAGCATACATTCTTACATACAGAGTTTTCTAATTTGTGAGATGTTTTAATTTTAGAACGATTATGTTCCGAGCACATCGTCTCAAGCGACAACGACCACGAAATATCCACTTCGTTTGGTCACAATACCTGCGCGAACAACAACGCCTTTGCCCCCTTATAAACACACAACAGTGAGTCCATTATACGCATTTTGCCTCACTCGCGATAATAATTGATGAAGGATTCTCTTCAATGATGCGTAGCAGGCGGCACAAACAAAGACTTTGCATGCTAGTTGAAGAGAAGAAAACCGAATAAATGCGTACTACAAACCTTTAAAATGGCTTGCGGTCATCAATCGCTGACAGTCCAGTGCTTCATCTTTGCTTTTACTCTGACACCTGTTCACTCCTAAGCGTTAAAGGCAGTGAATCAGCAGGATGGACTTCTGACAGTTTTGGTAGTTAAGGTATAGACTTTCTCCCCCCCCCCTCCCAGATACATCGCAGCCCCAATCCCATCCTCCAAACCATGCGCTAAGTCCTGTAATGGAGCTTCAAAACTTCACCAGCTCCGCCTACTTCCATTGGTGGGGTTTTGAATCGCTTTTCAGGACTTAGCGCATGAATTGGAGGGTGGGGTTGCTACGGGGTGTACTGGAGGGGGGGGGGGAGTCTACTACGCGAAATTGCCAAAATCTGACAGAGGTCCATTTTCCTGAACCACTGGCTTTAAAGGCAGCGGCTTGGCAGAATGACAACTTCGAAATATTTCGTCATCGGTTCCGCTGGATGAGCTAAGCCCAAGACTGTGGTTTGCGGCTTCTGAATATATCAGTGTCTCGCTTCCTTGGACGTGAAAAGTGTTGTTTGGGGAGGGTCGCGAAAGTGACTGCTGGAGTAATAATCCAATTGCCGCCGAGATAGGTATGGTATCTCCACTCAGGAGCCAATGCGCTCTAGAGGACAGGCATGCGCCGATAGCCCAAAAATTTTTACGTCTGTAAAAGTGGACTATTAATATCTTTCGAAGCCGCAAAGCACAATCTTGGACTTAGCTCATCCAGGGAAACCGAGAACGATGATTATCCCGAAGTTGTCATTCTGCCGACCCGCTGCCTTTGCGGGTTGGGCCATATCGTTAGCACATGTGCGTACACTGCTTACGTCGGCCGCGTACGCCGCGCCGTCTTTCCCAACCCTAACAGAGAGAGCGGAAGTGCAGCTGGACCATGGTCGTAATGGTCCATCTGCTGCGGCTCGGTAGGCCCTTCACCCCTAGCCGTGTGCTCGACCGTTAAGCATTCTGCACCCTAAGCATCAACACGTCCGCTCAACACGGACACCCTAACAATCAACCGTAATGCATAAAGAATGCACGACTAGATCAACTTTACTGACTAGTAAAACACAAAGACTACGTAAAATAGTATATTAAAACTACTGCCCTGGAATACTACTACTTTTACACCCAGATAGATAAGCACGAGATGCCGCTTTCTTCCGTGCTGCTGATGTTTCTACGGGCTCAATCTATACATTGATATTCTGGTTTCCTCCATCAGTTTCGGTGGCAAGAAGCTATGTCCATGGAACGCTGCCACCCCAGCTCCACTTTCGCAATATTGCATTTACAACCCAAAAGCTTTCTGACGCTTTCGTGCTTTTGACCCAAAAAACACCCTAGCTCTACTGCTTATTGCGAAACCTTTTCTGCGGGAGCTGCTGGAAAAGGGACTAAGCCTGATACAGTAGTGAATCAGTGAAACCGCAGCACACTGTAGCAGATTGCAGCTAACTTCAGCTCACCGCGCTGACTGCTGTGGCCGGCATGTTCTCGTAAAAAAAGAAATTTTTACGTGAAAAGGAAGAAGTCGGGAATTTCTAGGCGTCATTGTGTCTCGGTCGTAACCAAGGTTTTTTTCTTCTTTTTGTGTGAACAGCAGCAGCCGTTGCAGTCAGCTGCAGTCACTAGCAGGCTGCTGCAATCTGCTGCGGTCTGCTGCGGTCAGCGCGACAGTATGAAACGACCCTAAACGACACCAGGCTCCATACCACTAAGCCATTCGTCCCACAAGCCTTTTCAGCGCTGTTTCGCACTACTTGTCAGTCGATACTATCTTTTGAAATCCAAACCTGTAAGTATAGGCTGTACCAACCAGCATCGGTTATGCGACGTCGCGGTGTGACGCGTGCGGACTTTGCTAAGCGTTGAGGCACGTCGCATGCGACGACGCGTTCACGCAAGGCATACCAGCGCGGGACCGATCCTGGTTGATACAGCCTATAAAGGCAGTGTTTACTGAAGAAACATGCTTAAGAAATCGATGCAGTCAGCGTAACCTGCAGTCATCGAGTAATTTAGGGTCAAGGCGTAGGAAAATAAGAGGATAGGGATATTTCTCTAAAAAATGCACTTTCTACTAATATTTCATTTCAAAATAAACAAATGACTCAGACTTAAATCAGTTGTGTTGCAGCGTCGCCCGGTTGCAAGGTTCATGGACAGCAACGCTACGAGGTAAAATTATTCAATCCAAAGAGTTGTACGCTACTTGTCGATCACCTGCAAACGTTTCTTAGTGTTACTCACGTATTTTTTTGAAGTCTCCTTCCTAATACTACAGTAAAATAATCATGTTTAAGCTTTCCGGCATTTGCACTTTTGTTTATATCAAAAGTAACATATTTCAGGGCACCGGTTATAGATTCAGAGTATGCGTCACCAGCTTTGAGATTTCCAGCCCAACCATGGCAAATTCCTCCGTTTCCACCTCCTCTACCACCTCCTGGTGCGCAGCTCTACAGTCCTTATAGGTCTTGCAAAGTAAATCACATTTAGATGTATTGAGTCCTCATCAATATCCATTGATTCCGCCTCCCAATCCGTTCCAGCCAATAGTTCCTGCAAGAGGTTTGTTTAAAAATTACTTGCTGTGCCTGACAATGGCTAGTGCTTCAGAGTCCGATGTTGTCTACCCCTACGTTCCTATCGACAAAACCAGCATGAAGCCGCCACTCTCTCCCACATTAGGGGTCCGTATTCTTTAAAAACGTTTTTTGCTCTTTTGTAGTAGAGTTTTTGTTGCAGATCTATCCTACAGCAAATAATGTTAGAAGTAACGTACTAGTCCATAAGGTGGGCATTCAGTTGCAAGAATGATCTTTCTCAGCATAAATGAATATTACAGTCTTCTCCACGGCAAGGCTCCTACGTTCGTAATCGAGATATTTCTGCCATACCACTTCCAAGCTCAAGAGGTTTTCAAAATAATTGGTTATTCAACTGCCAGGTGTTAATGAGGCTGAAGTATCACTTTTCTGCCCTTCGCAAAGTTACTAAAAGAAACAAATATTTTCGTGAATCTCGCACCGAAAGACCCCTGCAACACTTACTTCGAGTGTTGTAGGTTGTTTTGTCGTTTTTCTCTATAGTTCTCATGCTCTCATGCACATTATTTTTCCTGATCACTCAAAGAGTATCTAACACTATTCTTTCTCTCGATCTAACCAAGCACTGGAATCTTGAACTTGAATTACTGCGCAAATCCGCTCTTTGGACACTGTCCTCGAGAGAAGAAAATCAGTGTTTTTTCTAAAGCGGTGCGCGGACCACCCACTTCGGTGTGCCGCCCGCCTCCAAAAACGAAATATTTTCACCGTTCGAGGCTTTTTCACATGGGAAACTAATCGAACGCAAGGCTATCCAACTGTTCATGCTTGTTTTCGACAAGGCTAGCGCTAGCTAGTCCACCATTCTCGCAAATTAGCAAAAAGAAGGGGTGGGGGGGGGTCGAAAGATACGCACTTTTTGAATGCCACATTTGAGAAGCGCCCTGAAGAGGCCTAGATGTGACAGAAAATGGAAGTCGAGAAGTTGCCCGGATTCAACTCAGACAGTTGAAGGGATACCCGCTGCTGCCTGCTTGTAACGTCACGGTGACGTCACGGTGAACGAATGGGACTCCTCTCTGGGACGCGCAAATCTCTGCTCCGGAGGTGCGCCAGATTTGGGAGAGCCCCGGAGCACCAAAATGGGTGAAATGGCAGGGACCCGCGCCATTTGCCCGCCAGAGGTATCCCTTCGACTGTTTGAGAAGGATGCTGTCCTAACGGTGGAAAAAGTGGCTTCAAAAAATTTTATTTCTGGAACAATATCACCTACCTAGTGTAGGCTTTGAACATGGTTACATATTACCATGCAGAGTAATAAATAACAATTAAAAAGATATTTGTTTCCAATGATCGTTCCAGGAAATGCGTACGTGAATGTCGATGGAGACCTGCCTAAGAAAACGGTGCCTTTGATTACCGATTTTCTCATTGACAAACACAAATACATCAGGTTTAGGATCCTGAAATCGACTTCTCTTTGGATAGTGAACCTGTAACAGTCACGCGAGATACTGTTGTCTTTGCAAGACCATATGCCACTCCAAGACAAATTCATATACGGTAAGAAGATTATTGTTCACGAATAAAGGCGGTTTTTATCTGGTTATCGTTCTACAACAATGATCTTTCTCAGATCTATCAGTGAACCATATTTGGAAGAACGTGGCGAGCAGCAATCTTCTGAACAGCTTCGACTCTTTGCTCGGAATCATCCGAATGTTTTGAAATCCATGACGAAACAAATTGCGTTTAAAGACAATCACATGATTCTGCCTAAGGTAAAAACGAGCAATAAGTCCCAAAAATTCTTCAGAGGAAGTCTGCAATTATTTGAGGATTTTCAGTCCGCCACTACAAACGTCGAGATCCCGTCTGCTTCAATTGCCAGAACAAGCTTGACACCAAATGAAAAGCTAGACCTGTGCTGTCGAAAACGTCGTGTCAATCCCGGCTGCCAAGCAATGTGCAATTTTGAAGCGTTGAACGATAGAACGGTAAATTACGTTATTCATTCCGATTAGCACCTTCTTTTGACTGTCAACGAACCATACTCTCAACATATAGAGCCATGTACTCTGGTAACCTTCACTTTGAATGCCATAATAGATACAACCTTCACCTAGAAATAAAAAGCCATCCGGGGCGAAATCTATATCGTAATGAATGTGAATGAAGCAAATATAGGAAATAATATCTCTAGATCCTCAGCGAAGCCGAGAATTTGCGTTTTTTACAGCCTTTCTTCGCTAAATGAAAGGATTCTATGAACTTTTCTCCAAAATTCAGACAAAACATCTCTCAGTTACATTTTATTTGGCTAAAATTGAGTTTCAGGAGTTTAGGGAAACTGTTGGAGTTGAATGAAAACGCAAGACTGCGCTCAAATCTTATTACGTGGAAGTTCGCGCACGAAAATGCTGGTCTATCTCATTAATGAGTGATTTCTAACGCTTGGGCACTAGTCTGTCTCCGCTATTCGTCTGCGCCTTCTTCGTTGTTTCGAGCCCGGTGCCATTCCATCCTGGTGAACAGTTAAGCGGGTGTTTATAGAAAGAAAAGTTCGATGAAAATTTCAGAACGCTATGCCAACGATAAGTTACCAATGGGAAGTGATAGATTCAAGTTGCTAAAATCTAATTCATCATTATATTAACACAAATATCTACGTGGCAGCGGCACATCGAAGCCCCCCCCCCCCGCCTTCGCCCCAAGACTGGTTCGCGAACTTTTCGAAAGTTACCAAGTTAATAAAATTGTGCAAACAACTGGATTCCGCTTGCAGAAAAATAATCTAAATTTTCTAGAAGTTTAATTGGCTTTTAAATCCAAAAAAGGGCTTCACTGCCGCTATGCCGACAGTTCAAGGATTTGTAGGGGTTATAAGACGTTGAAAGCTATGAAGGATCGCAAAACAATTCAGACAGGTAGCTAACGCCACGCTCCTTCCAAGAAAAATCTCTCCCCTTCCCCGAAAAAATTTTTGCGGACCACCACTGCTCCATGGGTAGATTCAACCTTACAAAAGATCCACGTTAAATTTAACGTAGCGCAATAGATGAGAGAAGACAAATTATTTATGAATAATTTCAAGCAACTGTCTTACTTGTAAAGCTATGAGTCAGTCCAGAAAATGTTTGTAAAACAAGTGCAATATCGTGATATTTCGAAACAATGTTCATTTTACAGTTGGTTTCCGCATTCCTCACAAACATTTGCCCAGGACCACAACAACGTGACGCATTTGATTGTGCTTCATCAAAGGTTTGTTGGTCATGACTCATTAGTTGAGCTGGCAAATTAATTGGCTCTGGTTATTAATCAAGACTCCTCCACTCTGATCTGTCGTTTTTGCATGATTTTTTTTTCAAAAGTGCGCTAGCGGGTGTCGTAAGGGACCTTTGATCGTACAAGTAGATGTGAATTTCTGCGACTTACGCCTTTTTTCAATCATGCTTTGCTTCTACTGCCACCGCTTCACTCTGCAGCGACTAATTGGTGCAATTACACAAAGTTTTTTTTAGGTGGACCACTCAGCTTGCTGCGAACGTGCCGGTCTCGGAACATTTCTCGATGGTCGATGCTTACCATTTTGTCGAACCCACGATGGCAGCCATCCGCTGAATCCGCTAGAGTTCATACCATGTCTTCAGGTCTTTGAACATATCAAATCATGCTACAGGGAGTACCAGACAACTCACCCAAATATTTTTGGAGATTAGGGGGCAATCCAGAGCTCATCCATACCCTCTACCTACTAAGGACTGTGGTTTGAGCGAGATCAGAAATGCTTCTAGAAACTGTAAGCCTTACAACGAAGTTTTTAGAACTCACATTGCTTCCTCATTTTTGCCAATGTGTCCTCTGTCTTCACTTCCTCCCTGCTGTTACGCTACCCAATGAGATATACTCAGTTGTGATTTTTAACGGGTACTTCACTTGACTGTTATTGTTGTCTATGTGATTCTTTTACACAGCTGTATTCGACGATCATTATTTTTGAGTCACATTGTACATTAAAGTACAAGCATTCTCTTTCAAATGTAAAAAAGCATAATGGAAAGATCTGAAATAAACTATAGGTCATGACGAGCTGGATTGGCACTGAAAAGTAACTGTAGCATATCTGACCAAAAGTTCTAATACAAAGCAACACCCACCGCCTGTAGACATTTTTAAAGAACTATGTTTGCTCAGAGTGTAAACAATTTGGAACATTGCTAACGGAAAAGCATTAGTCAAATCTAGTCAGCTAATTTACGCGTGTTAATTGATATGAAACCGTTTACGGAGGTGATTGGACCAGCGATTCAATGGAATAGGGGCAATGTGAAATCTCTCAGATGAGGCGTGTGGAATTAGTCGAAGGTGTGGAATTAGGCGAATGTAAAAGTTGTTTGTCGCAACTAAGCACGCGCCTGGGCAATGGTTCGTTTGGGTCCTCTCCAGAGCCCATTGAGAAGCTTGGCTTTATAAGCTTGACTTCTTTCTTGTTAGATATATCAAAATACTTCATCTCGGTGTTTTGATGTCTCTATTTTACCAAGGTTTACGTTGATGTTTGAATTTTTTAGCAAAACGAACGCACCTATTACGTCGTTTAACGCTGTTAGGTCCTAACGTAACACGAACCAAATAGAAATGAGTCTTTTTTAGCCATGCGAGTAGTGCTGGCAATAAAGTTTTGCAGCATTACGTAGCTTTTCTATTCAGGTTTTGTGCACTCATTTTTTGGCATCATGTGCGCTATGATGAGTTACATAATCAGCAACAATTCTGCCAAATTCTGTCGGTGAGGGTTACGGTAGACAGAGTAACCGTTACTGCAAAAGTATGCAAATTGAAAGTAAAATCAGGGCTTATGACAGATTCACTGGTTCGTGAGGATTCTCAAATTTGTTGATTACTAAATTGAAAATTCCGCTAATAAGACTCTTTCTGGAAACACAATGAGATTTTTTACGGCATCGTGAGTATGGAATCTGACTGCTCCTTGGTTATTGGAGGATGCAGCATTGACGACAGCGGTTACTTCAAATTCTCCACTCACCATATCTAGTTTGTCTGCACTCTACTTCTTTTTTACTGAGCTTAGTGAGTCACACCACACCCTATCTTGCCGTTTTGGTTCTATCTCTTGATTCGGAGTGCGCACTGCTTCAGTTTTTCTCTGTACCCGCTAAACTTCGAACTTCACATCCATACATTATTTTCCATTTCGTTATCACAGTTAACCGGCTTGTGCGCTTTTGTAGCTCACATCATAACCTATATAATGCCAAGATGTTCTATGTTCAAATAGAGAAAATTCAGAAAATTGAAATTATCCCATCTCTTTCTAAAAGCTGGTGAGAGTATGTATGATCACTTTGCCAAAATGTTTATTCTCTGTAGGCATATAGCGTTTATGCTCTTGTACGGGGTAGCCCTAGAAGAGTTGAATATTGTAGAGTTACTTTCAAATATAAGAAAAAGGCAAGCTCAATGTTTGCGTACACATATCTAACATCAGCAATTTAGCCATCAGTATGCAGTTATCGATAGTTGGATAATCAAAAATTGAAGTCAATGACGAGTGTTAGAAGTTGTGTTAGAAGTTCAAGTAGGAGAAGTTTCTGCCATGACACTTCCTGGCAAGTTACTGTTATGCTGTTATGCACATGTGAACCGACAAAAGTGAACTACAGGATGTTGTTTGGGTATCCATAACTGGTTTTAATCTAATAAACAGTAGAAGAAACTGTTATGAGAGTGGTAAAAACATTTTCTGTGCTATTTGAGTCTTTTCTCTATCATTTTGTAAACATGTACGTATATAATTATAAAATGAGAAAATCGCGCTCATTTAGGATTTTCTTAGTCATTTCCGCTCGAACCTTTTTCTAACCCCTCATTACTACCAGCTTGAAAGTTTGTTCCCCGGTATCAAGCCTTGGTACAACTAATGTATAATACTATATGACTCTTTCTTTTGGCGAACTCGAGGGTATCAAATAATTAATGGATATATGCGTGTAAAAGGAGCTACAAATTTCTGTAATTTAGTGGAAATGTGGTTTTTCGTAAGACCGTTTCATAACCGACTACTATTACAATCTCTCTATCCCTTACCAAACTTGAGTGATTTCTGAGATACTCAAAAAAGTGCAAAGATCTCCCCATTTACGCGAAGGCCATCCCTGCAAACCAACGTGGAAAAAGAACCTCAAAGTTTCCTTCGCTAACTAAAACATCGTTCTCAACCTTGAAGACCGTAGTTTTTGCAAGCCATTCAAAGCGTCATTCAACTTTATGGTCCAGCACTGGCTCAGACTAACCGGATTCGAGCATCATGGACGTGATGCTGGGATTATGGGACGTTTTGCAGCGCCAAACCGATTTGTTATAGTATTGAAGAGTCTAGTCTGAATAGCTACAATTCGGCAAAAGCTCGCTGAACCAGTAGTTCGGTGTAAAGAACAATTTATACGGAGGTCGGTTTGAATGATGTGTCATTCGGAGAGAGGATCTCGCTTTTATAGAGTGAGACAGTAACTGTAGAATATGTTTTGCCTAGGCGTTATAAAGAAGAATATCCCCCATTCTTCGAAAATGAAATGAAGAATATTTACCTCAACAATTTGTAAATTCACACAAACATGTTACACCAATTTTTAGGCCACACTTTGAAAAAAGTCATTCTTTAGAAGAATCTTTATCCATTTTTTTCAGACATACAGCCTGAAAGAAAAGAATTTCGACACATTCTGATTCTCACATCGTCTGATAATGCTAGCAAAGCTTAAAGAAGGTCTTGTTTGAGGAAAAATAGCGTGAAAGCTTTCTCTGCCATAAGATTTTTCTGATGGAATTCATTCAACGAAAGGATATAACAAACTCAAGCGTCTGAATCAAAATCAATTCCCCTCTCTTCGTACAATTTGTTAGGGGACAAATGACGAAACAAAGATAGTCCGTCACTCAATCTGTGCTGTTGTGGACTACTTCAAGAAGCAGAAATATAACCAAGTTGGCCAAGGGTTTCAGAAACAGTGCCCAGAAACAGTGCCAGTCCGAGCTTCCTTTGACAAAAATTCTCACTGAGGATCCCAAAGTCCGAATTTCTTTGACATGAATTCCTATTGAGCCTAAAGTTCGAACTCTCTTTGCCAAAAATTTTCACTGAGGGATCCTGAAGGTCATTAGAATAGCAGAAGTTCGTTTGAGACCCTTACCGTGCTGTATTCGAGGATCTGACCAATCCACTAAGAAAGAGTACGGTCTGGGCGAGGGTTCAGATGTGGATCTCTCGGCCGCGAATAAATATTATGAAAGAAAGATAGTTCTTCGTCACTTAGTCTGTGCTGGTTTTGTGGACTATACTTCAAGAAGTAGAAATATAACCAAGTTGCCGGTTGGGCAGTGGCATAGCTTATCAAAACTTTTTAATTTTCCTCACATATGTGTAATATTTTGCAATAAATAAGTAAATTAATAAGAAGCCTAGATTTTTCGGTTGCCTAGACGCTGCTCCCAAAACTCTGAATTATGAATTTGCTTTGGATTATCCCCCTCTCCTCCTACTCTCCCGTTCGTCCTCGTATCCCTTCTGCTCCCTTCCCTTTCTTGACGAGAACAAAGCCCCAACAAATGTCTGAGTCGTCGTTGCGTGTGCAAATGCAAATGTACGCTACGCAAAGGTGATTCAATCGTGCGCCCGGTTGTAGCGATCCGAACATGTGCACTATGAAGGTTATTCAAACACACATTATACCGAGAGAGGTGATAAAGCCCTGCTGGATCATAAATAAGATCTGATTGGGGTGAATTCCATGCACAGCCAGATAGCAAAGCAAACAAATGACGAAGTCATGTCGTACAACTAAGGAAAAAAGTGGGGAAGATTTATGGGCTTGTACAAAAAGAAAAAAGCACATGTGGTGTGGAAATGTACATTGTATGAAGCTACGAAAAAACGGCGGCACCTTTAGGAAAGTGCTAGCCCTTTTTGCTGATAGGTAAGGAAGAGGTAGAAAAACACAAACGCACTGGAACTCTCAGAATCTGTTTATTCTTCTTTTTTTTGACTAATTGCAGCGCATTATGGAATCTATTTAGTGTCAGTTACCCCGAGTAAGGACAGTCAACATTTGATGCTACAATAAGCAAAAGGAGGGGAAACTGTATTATCTTTTTCAAAATGGATTAGGATTCATTTGCACGATCTTATAGCAAATCTGAATCAACTTTAATATTCAGGTCAACCCTGGTGGTGCAGGGTATTTGCAAATGCATAAACCTGCTTGATTGGCACAATTGACGACTGTTGTTATGATCATATAAATCTTATAAACATGTCTGATAGGTCTATGTCAGTTAGATTTCTTAGAAATCAAAGAACATGAAGTAACCCCACGGTAATTCCGACTCGTCCTGGGTTCGCTTCCTACCATCCTTACCATGCCTTGATGACCAGCAAATCATCAGCTTTACCGTTCATCCTTCGTGACTATGGGAAATGTGCACAAACATATCATCGAGTCATTCGTACCTTAATATGTGAGCCTGCACATAAAGCGTTTCAACGGACGGCACCCTTAACATTAACTTCTCGATCAAATCTTTTCTAGCTTAACAAAGTGCAAAAATGTTGACTATTAACTTATTACTGTTCTTTCAAACCAAAAGAGGCAAAGAAACAAGGCGAAATCGCAGAAATGAGCAGGTTCCAATCTTCTAAGTT